ATCTCTAAAACTTTTTTGATGGGAGCTCCTCCAATTACGAAGAAAAAGATCTCACTAAACCTTTTGCGCCTGTTCAAATCTCAATCCTAAAGTCGTTGTTAGTCCTTGTTTCCATCCAACCAAAGGTATATTGAACTTTACCACGTCACACATCTTTCAGGAGAGGTATGAGATGGCTAAAGATTCCAATGGTCAGAACTAACAGCTTTTAGTCGATACCAGTTGTATATAATCAGCATCATCTCCACCAAACTAGAACATGAATTTATAAACTATCCTAAGTCCCTCTTATTAATTAAAAGTGTGGTCATTTGTTTATATTGTGAATTCAAGCTTGCCCTTATTCTTTGTGTAAGAACTTGATTAAGCAAGCCAGATAAAGAATCTTTAAAAGGGAAATCTTCAGTATGCAAGAGCTAATTCTATAACTTCAAATTCAATTTCCCTAAATTACATATAGCTTATTAGTAATGCCTGAAAATCAATAGCTGAAGTCTGGAAATGGCACTCTAGTTAGCATTTTTCAACACATACAACCAAATACTGCCAAACCATTCTGTCAAAGTATGGCATAGCTTCAAAGGAAAAATAAATCAAGTACAGCAACAATTAGGCATGAAAAAATTAAAATCCAAGCTGGCAGTTGAAGATTGCCTCGGTAGCCTTCCATAATACAGTGATGGACAGACAGAGGGAAATCAATTTGCATCGCTTCAGGCATAGCCTCTACTTCAAAGAGTTTGGGCTCACAGTTACAGAGATTTAATCCATAGTGTCATCCTTATAAGGGAAGTCACAAACTTCAACACTCGTAATCCATCTATAATTCAATTAGTAACCCAATATTTCTTGCTTTGCCAAAGCAACTTGGTTATCAGGCCTTTCATGAACTGTTTAATGCCCTAACAAATTCAAGAACTTTCTCATAAGAGATATAGCTTCAGATTTTGTATAATCAAACATACGTTTTCTTTCTTCTACGTATTTTTGTCAATAAAGCAAGTTAATCCCGCATCAAACTTCCAAACTATTTTAGTTCATCGAAACAAGCTTGTAGCAACCATGACTTCTTTTATACCCATTCCCAAGGCCAACTGCATCAGATTTGCCCTCTTTGCAACTATCAACTCACTATTAAGCTTTTCAACTAACGTATCCATCTCAACCAAATTTTCTTCAGCAAGCCATGACACCTCAAGCTCAAGCTCCACGGTTTCAGCTCTTCAACCCAACTTCCTAATCAACTTGGTTGCCTCATTTGACTTGCTCTCAGACTCAAAATTAAATAAGGATAGCAGCTGATTCCTCCAAAAATAAATTTCGTACTTCTCTGTATTAATCTCAGCAACCTTCATCGCATCCTCTGCAAGACTCTAGGCATTAATGGTCATTCCTCAATCAAGCAATCAGATTTTCTTTTTTTTTTTATTAGGAAGATTTACATACATACCATTGCAGAACTCTTTTTCTCTGAGCCAGAAATTTCAACCCTGACTGACAAATTCAAATTTGCTTTCATTGGAAAATTTCAGTGAGGATACTCAGCTATGGAAGTTATCAGGAAAAAGTTTTGATGACTTCAAATTAGCAGGAAAGTGGAAAGTGGGACTCATGGATGAGAGAAATGTATTGATTCAGTTAATCGTGCCTGAAGACTACACTCGTATTTTCTCTAAAAAATATCTTAACATTTCTGGTAAAACAATAAAGCTACTCAAGTGGTCTCCTGATTTTGACCCCAATCATGAACCTCCTATTTTACCAGTATGGTTTAGTCTATCCGGTCTCAAGCTTGCACTTTTTTCATCATCAGGTTCTTTTTTCTATTGGTGTCATACTTGGGGATCCTATGAAGCTAGATCTACCCACTTTCAACCTTACTATACCTTTTGTGGCTAGAATACTTGTGGAAAGAGATATTACTTTGTCTGATGTTACTAAAGTCTGGTTGGGCACAACGCATAATGGATATTGGCAACAAATCATCATGGAGCATAGACGTTCTTATTGTTCTCATTGTAAGGTGTTTGGGCATACTCTTGATAAATGTCATAAGCTTCACCCTAATTTGAAATCTAAAGATCAAGTGAATAAGGATGAATCTAAGGATATATCTGTACCACCTGGAGAGAAACACCTGGAGATACCACCTGGAGAGAAAGCTACCATAGGACAAATTTTGGTGTCTGATTCTATTGCCTCTGTCGTTACTATTACTACGAGTGATGTGATGCTGGCACCTTCAAATCTCATAGAAAACAATATTGATGGACTATTACATACAAATGATAGTGTTCAGACTGATAATCAGGAGAGTCTCATAGCTCTACTTCTTCAGAAAGTATCCAGCGTAGAGACAACTCATATTTCACATATACTAGAACCTATTGTGGGTGTTACGGTTGTTATTCCTTCTGTTACAGCTCTACCACCCCATCAGACTGATTCTTCGGATGAGGAATGACAGGTCTATTACAGGAGGAAGAAGAATGGAGGCCGACTCCAACTCGGGAACATAATGGATGATATATTAGTTATTACTAACAATGGTAATCATCTTAGCAACTTATTAGCTTGCTCCTTTCCTAGAATTGCAGGCAGAGCCAAGATCAAATTGGGTCGCTCTCTAGCCACCTGATATTATGTATTTCAGCACAGTTAGGCTTTTTATTTTAGTATCTAACGTATTTTCTGTTTTTTCTAATTTTGAAACCTTTTGTGATTTTTTGTGTGGGCAGGGTGTCATGCTTGGGCCCTCCCACACATTGTATCTGTATCTTTTTTTTCTATTTAATATATGTCTTTTTGGGTTTTCAAATATATAACT